GGGGGGGGGGGGGGTGAATAGGATAATTGCTAATCTAATCCGATATTAACGCCAAATTTAAAACTTATTAACTAATATATTCTAATGATGTAATATACAATGAAATATGTAAGGATATACAATTAAACAATGGGCGAAATAAACATGACCACAAGAACAAGAGAGATAGTGCACAAATGAAAAACACAAACACAAGGTAAATGATCATGGAGTTCGGTCAACCCACGACCTACGTCTCCGCTCCTCACCCTCGAGGAGAATCTCCACTATCTTAAAAAATACTACACAATCGGTTTTTCAACGCTCACTGATAAACGTTTACAACTCACACAATTGCAATCATACAATACACTCCTCTAAGTATTGACCTAGCCCGTGTTACCTTCCTCAAATGCTCGGAATTACAACCTCTTCCTAGGATTTACAACCGACGCCACTCCTTTTGAAATTGACCTCGTCTCTCACCAATTACTACTCTAAGTATCCTTATGTATTACAATGTGTTCTCAACAACAAGACACAAATATAATAGTTTGTTCTCTAACAAAGATGAGAACAAAATTCTAAGCTCACTCTTTAAGATACAACCCCACAATCTAAAATATACTATATGTGAAAAATACTTAAGCTCAAGGGATGTGTGTGTAACCAGTGAGTATAAATAAAATCAAATCAAATTAATCTAGCAAGTAAAAAAAATATAACAATTGAAATATAAACAAGCTAGATAATGAGTTTAAGATAACTTCTCTAAACAAAGAGGGATGAAGAATTGAGGTTGAACTCCTCAAAGATGAAATCGATATTCTCCTCTTTGTGAAACTTTCTTCATATTAAACACACTTAAACTTCTTTAAAAACTCTTAAACAAACTTGCAAACTTGTTTAAAGACTCTTATTGGTTAACCCCAAATGTTGAGACTGAGAGGGTATTTATAGGATCACAAAACAAAGCCCAAAAACCAAGAAAAAACAAACAAATCCCATAAAAAATAAAATCCCTAAAAATCCGGAAACTAGCCTTTACAATAGCCATAAGTCGACTGATGGTACTGTTCAGTCGAGTGATGGTACTGTTCAGTCGACTGATGAGCTGACCGTTGGTGGCTGTTTAACCCCGTTGGTCTACTGATGCACCATCGGTCGATTGATGCACCATCAGTTGACTGATAAGCTGCTTCGGTTGAGTGGTGGTGCATCAGTCGACTGAGCAAAAATATTTAATGATTCCAGCCACTTTCATCAGTCGATTGATGACCTTATCAGTCGACTGATAACATGTTCAGGGTCAGTTTTAAACAGTGAATTTAAACTTTGAAGTGTGTTTTAAAATAGCAAATAAATTCTAAAAAATATAAAATTTAGGAAAATATTTATAAACATGAAAATAAACATGTTATAAAAGAAAATTTTCAAATATCATTTTTTGTTTGTGAAAACTCATCATTTTGCAAAATCTCAAATTACATGTTCGTTTGAGCACTTGATTTTGACAAAATGATTTCAAGCAAGTTTGAAACTTCTTTTGAATGGATTAATAGACTTTATAAAAGATGTAAAAATAGTATAATCAAGTCTTTAATCCATAAACATATTATTTTCCAAAACAAGGATGATAAATCTGAAACGAATGTGTATGTATATAAGTATATCTATTACTTTTATATTTATATGGTCAAACTCGAAAAGATAAACCGAAAACGTGTATGTGTGTAATATTTGAGCTTATAAGAATAACACACAAAGTATAACTCCTAAACTATATACCCAAGCTTGAAGATCTCTTTGTGATGCTCGATCTTGGTAACATGGATGAAGCGATGATGAATCTGGCTTGAATTGCATTGTGCTTCATTCCGATTCCGTCAATCTCCTTTGAATATCATCGTGAACGTGCAATTCCATCCAACCTCCAACGGAGAATTTTGTGTAGAATACCTAACAAACAAATAAACACTCGACAAATATTATTAGGAATTGTTTGTTAATCATCAAAAGTAGATTAGATAGTAGGCTCATAAACATGAGACTTAGCAGAAAGGAGAAGAGAGGAGGGAGGAGAGCAGCGTCGAGGCTAGCGTGGGAGACAGAAAAGAAGGGTTTAGGGAGAGGGAGATAGGAGTTTTTAATGGATGAAGAATAAAAAAAGGATAAAATAGGGAACTCTGATAAAATACAAGGAAGAAGAATTTTTTAAAAAAAGACCGTCTTTAAAACATAATTAGCAAAATCGACCACTTCCCTAAATAATGAGCATAATCGACCTCTTTTTGGCCACATCATCAAGGCTGGCCAAAAAGAGGTCGATTATGAAAAAATCATCTTTAAAATACACGGGACTAGTAATCCAGTGTATTTAGTCTTGTTAATTAAAAATTTCAACTTGCGCTCTCTTTCCTCCAACGTTCCTCTTCATCTCTCTCCTCTCTCATCCGATTCGCCCTCGACCACTGCCCTTGGTTGTCCTCAACCACCGCCCCCTAGCCCTTCACCACTGTCCTCGAGGCTCCCTCGTCCACCGCCCTCGAGGCTGCCTTCGACCACCGCCCTCGCTCTCGAGGCTCCCTCGACCTTCGACCACGGCCCTCGCCCTCGACCGCAGCCCTGGAGGAGATTGACAGTAAGAGGAGGCAAGAGATCTGGAATAGGGGTAATGGTGGCTGAGATTAGAAAAAAGGGAATGATTACACTGGACCAATAGTCCCGTGTATATTCTGAGCCTAATCAGTTTCATAATTAGCAATTGCAAATTACACGGGACTACTATTTTAAAGATGATTTTTTTCAAAATTGACCTTTTTTGGCCAACCTTAATGACGTGACCAAAAAAGTTGTAGATTTCGCTCATTATTTAGAGAAATGGGCGATTTTGCTAATTATGTTTTAAAAACGTTTAAAAAAAAATCTCCTACAAGGAAACAGCGCTGAAACACAAGGGGGATAATATCGGGGGCTGGGATCAGATTTTGATTTTTTGGGCCTCGATGTAATTTTTCCAAAAACAAATAACTTTTATCCCTACCCAGTTCGACCATGCTCTTCGAATGTCATCAAACCTCCTCCCCATCGTAAAATCCCAACATAAAATCCTCATTCATCGTCCCTTCTCCTCCTCTCATCGCTCCTACAATGCCGTTCATCTCTCGACGAAAGATCACCACGTGCTCGACGAAACGCCCCAACGAAGCTCCGCCTCCTACGACTCCGCCATCGCCGCAAGCTGCCGCAGCGGACACGTGTCCGAATCCTGCGCTCTGCTCTCCAGGATGATGGCCCTCAATCTCAGGCCCACTCGCTTCACCTTCGTCCCAATCCTCTCCTCCCAGCCTTTGGACTTCTCTTGTGGGACCCACTTGCATTCTTTGCTCATCAAGACTGGACTTGTTCACTCCGATCCTTACTCGGCGACTGCTTTAATGGGCCACTATGCGACACACCGGGGATTTGAAGAAGCGGTCAAGTTGTTCGACGAAATGCCTGTTAGGACGCTGGTCACGTGGAACTGCATCATTGCTGGCTTCTCTCAAACGGGTTTTGTTCAAGACTCTTTCGTTTTGTTCCGTGAGCTCTTACGGTCTGAGTTTGGACCGTCAGAGTCTTCATTTCTCAGCGTGCTTTCTGGATTTCAATCTTCGGAGAGTTCGTGTTTGCTTGAGCAGGTGCATGGATTGGTGCTTAGGTTGTCTATGGGTTCTTATTCTGGTGTTTCGAATGCGCTGCTGTATGCGTACTCCAATTGTTTTACCGATACTGTATCTGAGAGGTTGTTTGGGGATTTATCCGTAAAAGATTTGGTTACTTGGAATACGATTATTGCTGGTTTTTCTAGGAGTGCAATGCCTGAGAGAGCTCTGGAGTTCTTTTTTGAAATGTTGTCACAGGGGGTGTCTCTTAATGAGAACACACTTGCTAGCGTTCTCGTTGCATGTATTGCTCTTAATTCTCTAGTGTGTGGGGAGCTTATCCATGCGAAAGCTGTCAAGCATAATTTGAGTACAAGTGTTTATGTAGGGAGTTCGTTAGTTGATTTTTATGCAAAGAGCAAAAGATGGGAGGATGCATATGCTATGTTCAGTGAAGTTCCGAACAAGAATGTCGTCACTTGGAATGCTTTGATCACGGGCTACTCAAATAAGGATTCCAGTGATATGCTAGTGCTTGTTAGAGAGATGTTATGTTCTGGGTTCAGACCCAATGAGTTCACATTCTCTTCTATTCTCAGAAAGGCTTCTGCTTTGGATCTTTGGCAACTTCATTCATTAGTTATAAGGATGGGATATGAAAACAATGACTATGTTTCTACTGCTTTGATTTCCTCTTACGATGCTCATGACATGACTTCTGATGCCTTGGCTTGTACTTCAGCTTCAGACTGTTCAATTCATGTTGCTCCCAGTAATGTTCTAGCTGGTATTTACAACAGAATGGGCAGATACAAAGATACAAAGGAGTTGCTTCTCCAGCTTCAATACCCTGATACTATTTCATGGAACATATTAATTGCTTCTTGTGCAAAAAATGGGGAATACTCTGAGGCTCTACAATTGTTCAAAAGACTGCAAATTGCAGGAAACCTTCTAGATAACTACATGGCTGTGAGTCTGTTAAGCATTTGCTCAAAGATCAACAACCATGGATTGGGTAGTACACTTCACGGGCTTATTATTAAGACCAATGCTGGATATTCTGAAACTTTTGTCTCTAATGTATTAATGGATATGTATGCTAAGTGTGGTAGCCTCAAGAGTTGCTTGAGGGTTTTTCGAGAGATGGGAGAGAGGAATCTTATGTCATGGACATCTCTGATATCAGGCTTTGGACTTCATGGTCGAATGAATGAGGCACTGGAGACATTTATGCAAATGAAATCAGATGGATATAGGCCTGATAAAGTTGCATTTCTTGCAGCGCTTTCAGCCTGTAGGCATGGTGGATCAGTTGAACATGCAATGTTGTTGTTCGAAAATATGAAAAATGTTTATGGCATTGAACCAGAGATGGATCACTACATAATATTAGTGGACTTGTTGTGTGGGTATGGGCATCTTAAAGAGGCCGAAAAGATGATTTATGGAATGCCTTTCCAACCAAATCCTGTGATATGGCGAATCTTTCTCCGTGGTTGTCAGACGTATCATCAATTTTTGTGACTTCATAAATGATTGTGATCGTTCGGATTCTGAGCTTCTAGCAAGATGCCACTTCATGATTCTGTGTAACGAGATTACAGAACCACACTGGTCACTTTTTAAGAGGTGGTGGCTTTTTCTTCTTATTGCATTATTTGGGCTTAATTTCCAATTGCTCCCAATCAGAGGAAATCCAGGTGCCTAATTTTCCTTAGCTGATTTAAATTAACCACTCATTTTTTTGTTGCTGATATTTCTAATCCAATGATTAAGGTAAATGTTAATGTGTGATTTTCTTCTATCAGATATTATTAAATAGTGAATACCATCATTTTCTTACCTAATTTTTAACCAGTCTCTTATACGCTAAGTTTCACAAGTCATGATAAAGCAGTGCTTTCTTTCTTCTATCAAATATTATGGAGTGAATATTGCAACAATATATAAACTATAATTCTTTTCTGTGCTTTTTATTTTGTTATATGCAATGTTTATGGATATTTAAGCATACCAATTATGCACCCACAATCAGTGAAGTGAGATGTTGTCTATCAATTGCCTACATAGAAGACTAACCATGCACTGGTAATAGATTTTACGCGTTTCATTGGATGTGTGTTTGGTAACCATAAACATGAGTACCCATGGATTCCAGTGAGGTGTCATGTTTAGTTGAGATCAGCGGTTCACTGCCATTTTGCATATGGATTGTTTCCCTATTTCTTGGGCAGTGTACTAAATTGAAGTCATAAGTTATTTGTTTTCTTTCTTGAATGCTGTTAAACTTTGATGCTGTGTCGATATTGGGATTTTTCACAAATGTCTGAAGCACAAAAAGGTGCTATGCCTAAGTTATATCAATTAAAAACTTATGCAATCATTTCTTGGATAATGATGTTTTTTAATAATATATTACTTTAGGAATGTATCCAATACCATAGTAGATGTTTCAGTTGCTGGTACTTTTTGTTGCCATCAACATTTGGAACAGATAATTTTAAGAGTGGTGCTACAGGCACACCCTCTGCCACACCTCCGGCCACACCCCCTCTCCCGCTACAGTGCAGGGGGGCCCACTTGAGATTTTTAAAAAAATCTCAAGTGGGGCCCCCCTGCACTGTAGCGGGAGAGGGGGTGTGGCCGGAGGTGTGACAGAGGGTGTGCCTGTATCATTTTCCTAATTTTAATGATCAGAAACCTGCAGTTGCTTTGAGAAATTGCATCTGAAAAAATATTCTGAGAACTAAAAGTATCATTTGATATTTATACCACGGACTTATCTTACAAAAAACTATCAGATCATCAACTGCACATTTCAAATATTTTACTATATCTATTTCCCTATTTTTTGTTGCAATTCACTAGTGTTTATCATATAGATATAAGATGAATATGCTTAGGCCTTGTTTGGTAGGAAGAACTAAGGTCAAAGAGTTGTGCATTTTAAAAGTGAAGTAAGATGAAATCTTATGTCTTGTCAAGAGTTAAAATAATTCAACATAAGAGATATAGATAACTTTGAGGTTTCTTCCAAAAGTGGTTTGACATTTTGATACGAGTTGCCGTGCGAGCACCCTTTGGTCGCGGAATTACCAAAAGGTGGGTTGAGAAGAGGATGACCAAACACAAGAACAATTCAGTATAAGGCGAAGGAAAATACCTTCTCTAGATTATGAAGACAAAAGATTACAATCTCTCCCTCACAATCTCACTAGAATCGAGAACAACCTCTCAACTCTCTCTCTAAAACCCTAATACAATTATTAGAATTTTCTCTTGATCACTCCTCTCTGAGATCTGATTGTTTAGAACCCTAAAACAATCCTATTTATAGATGTGCAAACGTGGATGGCAATCTTGTAAATAAACAAGCCCAAAAGAATCAGGAATCCCTGTCAAAACAGAATCCAAAACGAAACAGGAAACCCAGAAATCGCGATCCGGTCGACCGCCAGGCTTGGTCCGGTCGACCGGCCAGAGAGTTTTCTCAAACCCTGCACCGTGCAGGTTTTCCGGTCGACCGGCATATGTGCTGCGGTCGACCGGACAGAGATCTGCCAGTTTACCCTATTCTTTTGCGATACGCTCCTGTTGACTTCTTTCACCGTCTTCTTTGGCTCCATCCATGCTCCTATTCCCAAGATATGAGAATCTCCTATCCTCAAGCTCCCATGAGGATCGCTAAACTCCTGAAGAGAAGATACACCCGTATCATGGGTCCCCCCTTTAGGAACTTGAAGTCCCGTTCAAGTTAGAACTGAAACTGAGGGAACTCGCGAGCCCCTCCTCCTTTTCTGAACCACCTGGCCTTGCTAGGAATCTGATCTCGACGTCCGATCGGAAATAACTCATTCATCCCGCGTCTCGTCGTAGTCACATCTCGCTCTAAGTTGCAATCCTTAATCGATGGCTTTTCTGGAAGTCTAATGCATAGCGAGACAAACTTCTTGCTTGCATTCACTAACCTCTTCGCTCGCGTCACCGTTCCCAAGCTTGTCTCCCTCGGAAGAGATGCCGAACGAAATATGAACTTTTCACCACCCTTGGTGAATGTATACTTCTGAGCCCGCCTCTCGTAGATCGCATATCTATCCCATAAGTACGGATTGCCCAGTATAATCTGACAAACATCCAATGGAACTACGTCGCATGTGACCTCGTCAATATACGACTCATGGAGCGCAAATCTTACAGTGCATTGATCAACTACACATAGCTTCTCCTCCTTCTGAATCCATCCCAATGGATAGGGCTTCGGATGCTTGACCGTCTTCAGACCCAGCTTCTGAACCAAGACTTCGGATATCAAATTCTTCTCGCTGTCCGGATCAACTATGGCATCAACTAAACTGGTCTTCACTTGCAACTTAAGAACAAAGAGCTGCTTTCTCGGGTCGTCGTCCTCTTTCGTGGCCTGTTTCCCCGTCATAAGATTGAGACTGCTATTAGGCTCTGTCATCCCCGGGACTTCTTTCGGACCTTGAGCTATCATGTATGCCTTTTTCTCCTCCTTCTTCTTCAACCCTCTTGGTTTGAGATGAGGATACTTCTCCCAGCACCGATCAGCTTCGTGTCCTGTCTTCTCGCAGTGACTACAAATCAGCCCTGTTTTCCCTGGATCACCCTTCTTCTTCTCCTCCTTAAACTGAGAACCACTAGACTCGCCTCCAACTTGCTTTGCATCCCCCTTTGCTTCATTGCTCTTCTTTTGCTTGCCCTCAATGGCAATGACCTTCACGCTCGCATCTGCAATAGTCTCGACCGTGAATAACCTCATTTCCTTTCGGATGTAATCGCTCAATCCCGCCATATACTTCATAAACACGGAATATTCCTCTGTCGCAATGTTGAGGACCATCGCCTGCTGCTGGAACTCCGTAGTGTATTCTTGAACGGTTTGATTGACTCTTTGGCGCAAGCCTCCATCCGCTCGATCCAGTCATCAAGCCTCTCGACGTCAACACTCCCATCATAAATAGGAATCTCCACTCTGAAATCAATCTTCAGATTCTGGTAAGAATTCTTACCCCCTTGATGCGGTGCAGTCTTGACGGTCTCGTCCTCCTCGTCGGAGCCTGAAAGCTCGCTCTCTCCACCGGACTCTATAGGTTTCTTCTTAGACCTAGAAGAAGATTCCCCCTTTTCGTTCCCTCCTTGGATGAGACCGACGAGTTTTGTGAGCGTCGACCCTATCGTCTCGATCTGCTTCTCTAATGCATCAATTCTCGCAGAATTATCTCCTTCAGTCATCTTCTCCTTCTTAAATCCTGGACTCCTTCCAATAAAATAAGGATCTCGCCAAGCTTCTTGTATGAGGAACGAGTAAGGACCATACACAGGATGCCCCTTCACCGGATCTAGTCTCTGATACCAACTTGATACGAGTTGCCGTGCGAGCACCCTTTGGTCGCGGAATTACCAAAAGGTGGGTTGAGAAGAGGATGATCAAACACAAGAACAATTCAGTATAAGGCGAAGGAAAATACATTCTCTAGATTATGAAGACAAAAGATTACAATCTCTCCCTCACAATCTCACTAGAATCGAGAACAACCTCTCAACTCTCTCTAAAACCCTAATACAATTATTAGAATTTTCTCTTGATCACTCCTCTCTGAGATCTGATTGTTTAGAACCCTAAAACAATCCTATTTATAGATGTGCAAACGTGGATGACAATCTTGTAAATAAACAAGCCCAAAAGAATCAGGAATCTCTGTCAAAACAGAATCCAAAACGAAACAGGAAACCCAGAAATCGCGATCCGGTCGACCGCCAGGCTTGGTCCAGTCGACCGGCCAGAGAGTTTTCTCAAACCCTGCACCGTGCAGATTTTCCGGTCGACCGGCATATGTGTTGCGGTCGACCGGACAGAGATCTGCCAGTTTACCCTGTTCTTTTGCGATACGCTCCTGTTGACTTCTTTCACCGTCTTCTTTGGCTCCATCCATGCTCCTATTCCCAAGATATGAGAATCTCCTATCCTCAAGCTCCCATGAGGATCGCTAAGCTCCTGAAGAGAAGATACACCCGTATCACATTTGCATAAAAGATTCCAATTCAATGCTTGATCTCCTACAATGTAACTCTTGCAACTTCTGAAGTTTTTGTGAAAGTTAGCTCTGACTCTAGGCTAACTCTCACTAACAAAAAATATTTTAGTATTGCAGAAGCCTATGAACATGAAATTAATTCGTAACACAAAGTTACTGCACCAATTTAATCATTAGTCCTCAGAAAGTTCATTTTTGTTGCTTGAATGAACTTAATCCTTTGAAATTTCGTGCAACAGATGGAGCTATATGCAACTTCAATACATGCAAACAAAAATACGCAAATGTTTGATTAGCTGCAGTCAGAACTGCATGTAAATGAGAGCCTTTTGAAGCCAATTGTTGCAGATGGATGTCGTTAAAAAAAACTGAAAAGGCTGTTACACCAGTTATAATAACTCTTTTAGATTCAAAATTACTTCTTCCAAGCTACATGCTAAACGCATTCTTCATTTTTTCCCCAGTAGGTGTTTCAGTCAAGGTTGTTTAGGCCAAATAAGATCTATGTCCTTAACTGCAGCTATAATATCTTCATGCAGTTGAGGTGAATCTCATGCCATATCAAACAAATACAACCGCTGATTGTGAACAAGATGTGCCAATAAATCTTCAGAACTTAGGTGAATGTGTAAAAATTGTTTGAGGCTGCATTGATACTGGTGGGGGAAATTTCAAGAGACAAACCCAAGCTAAAGACTGAAATAATGTTGGAAAATATATTATTAAAGTTCACTGAGTAGACAATCTAAATTTGGATTTCAAGATATGCACAAGCAGAAACATGATAAAAAACATCTTGTTGATGCCATTACTCATTACAGTAATAAAGAATTTAGGATCTGTTTTACTATTATTTTGTTAAAATCTCATTGCTAGAATCTGAAGACTGGATTGGACTGAACTGGATATTTGCTGAGGGGTTTACTTCTTTTAGTTAGAGTCAAATTAGGATTCACATTGGACTTAGTCTCTTCAGGAAATTAATGAGTATTACTTGAAAAAGAGTTAGGATATTACTGGAGATAACTAAGGAGATAGTATTGCTTGTTGGCTGTGGGATCCACAGCTATCAGTGCATTTGTTGATATTTAAAAGGGAGACTGCAGATCTTCTTGAGTTAAAATATTTCTGGTATATGCTGCTGTAAGGTTTTGATGAGGTCAACTATGTTTCCGAAATGAAACATTGTTTTTTTAGTAGATGCGTAGAAAGCATCTTTATTAAGTTTTTTTGTCCCTTTCCCTTTTCTTTTCATGAACTCTTGAGGACTTGTTTGGGTAATTTGAATAAATTCTTCGGAGATCTTGTGGTTGAAAACCCTTCAATTCATCCTTGTTTTCTTATACAGAAACCCATAGAATTCCAAAAGCTATTAGAAGAATTTATGACATGACCGAAGTGGACGGAGTCCATATTTATCTTTTTCAACTGAGGATTGGACCAATGTGGGGGGATTCGAACATGAGGATGTTTTGGTATATCCCATGGACAGTTGCCACTTTCCACATTCTTAGGAATTGAAGCTACCCAGTCAAGCTCCAAGTGTTTTTAACTTTTAATTCCCTCCATGTATATTAACTTTTCTCCGATCTATCATTTTCCTTTATTTAGGCCCATCACCTTGCAAATGCACTTTAAAACAAATTCAGTTTCCACACTCACCAATCACAATTTAATTTAGTTTGTATCTGTGCATGAGTGGCAAATGCATGCATTTGTTAAAAGAGGGGTTTCCTTGTATCATATGGTACTCAAGTTTCTGTAATATTTTATTTATGTCTTTGAAGTATTTGAGAACATTATTTGACATAGAAAAATTAGACTCTAGTCTCTGATAACATTGGCAAGAACTCATGTGATGTAGGCATTTGGGTGGATCCCTAAAGATTCTGCCAGCATTAGGGTTTGGATACGAGTATGGGTGCTAAAAGGTAGGATACATGGACATGATTCTATATGCATATTAAAAATAATAATGTCCATGAGATCAGTATTGTTGTTTCATTCGCATTGTATGAAAACTAAAATTCCTAGACATTTTCACATTTTGTTATTAAGTAGATTATACATATTGAAAATAATAATGCACATGAGATCGATATTGTTGTTTCATTCACATGGTATGCAAACTAAAATTCCTAAATAAAAATTTTGTTTTTATTAAGAAAATTATAAATTGGAAAACGGCTCATTCTTGAACTAGATATCTAAACGACCTTTAGAGTCATATTTCCGTACTGAGTATAGGTTGAAACAAACCCGATTTGCGTGCAAGTTGCAGAAAGTGGATGTGAAGTATAAGATATACCCCTAAGAAGTGTATGCTGAATACTTCAAACTAAAACATGTATTATATAATTGAGTACACATTTGAATAAATGTATGCATATATTCAAGGAGTGTCAGAGTCAGACATGGAAATGGGGAGTGTCAGACACCTGTATGGTAGCCCAGATGGGGGTGTTGGGGTACCTTAGGTAGTAATACTTGTGGCAAAAGGTTGTATGAGATAGCACTCCCTCACGTGCTCTGCACACACAGCCTTTTTGAAATCTTTAACTGCTCCCTGCCCTACAACAAAATAGCTCATGTCTCAAATCTTATATTTAAAGTATACTCGAAATGAACCAGGTATTAGTCATCAAAGTTCAAGTACTCTCCAGCTTTATTCTCGTTTATTACACAACCATTGCAAATTATAGAATTTCAGACCTTTCCTTTTCTCGAAATTCTCTTAAGTCCCTTTTCCCAACCACATTTCCTGCCTTCTCTATTATTAAGGTCTAGTATCAGTATTTTATCCTTCTTAAGCCCTCTACAAGGATGCATAATATTCAACCAAGCTAGCGTCTTGGAGCTATCCATGTTCATTTTCTGTCGTTTTTCACTGTGAGTAGCTCCTGATAATTGACAACTCACTGTAGAGTGAAAAATCTGCAGTAAGAAGCTTATTTGCGACCTAGCAAAGCTTAATCTACCCATATGTAATGAGTGACACGAATCAAGAAGAGCCAGAAACCCAGAAACATAGCCGTCCAAGACTCCCTTAGCTTTTCTCCATCTCTTTTACTATCTATGGAAAGTATATTGGAGTCAACATCTTTGCATTACTTGGTAGTCTGTTTCATGTTAATATTCTTTCTATGGAAAGTATTTCTGTTCCAATAAACACGCCTAATTTAATTCAAACAGAATACATGGTGCAGATAAGGAAACCAACCCCTTTATATTTTTTCCCTCACCTTTGATACAACCTACAGGCAGGAGCCATTTCTTGATAAAAGTTCTAGCTAACCTATTCTGTCATGAGACTACTAGATATAGGCCATGGTTGTAGCGTCTCTTATCTCTATTACTCTCTTGATTTTGATTAGTCTGCCGGAGTTAATTGTGTATCTTATCATTCTACTTTATCCAGTCGGGCAGGATAAGCTTCATCATTTTCATCTAAGGATTCAATCACTGGTTGAAGTTGTCTGGGCGGTACTTCTATTGTGTATTAGATGGAGTGGTTGAAACCATAAAAATATCAGTATTGTATAGTCACAACTATTCTTTTATCTGAACTTTTTGTTGAAGCCCACATCAAATTTGATATCTTATTTGTGGATAAGGTCACTCTGAATTTTCTATTGACCTCCATTAAGGATGTCTTGGCTAGTGAAGTAATCAGTGCAGAATAAAAGATTGTTATCTCTTTATCTTGTTTTTTGTTTTCACATTTCATTTCCTTGTTCTTTCAGCAACAATTTATATCCTTTGGTTTTATTTGATTGTACAGGCGAATGAAATAGAACAAAGGAAACAAATAGGAGAATGAACCTTGTAATCTTTCCGCTTTATCTCGACTCTTGCTTTAGATAAATATTAAGAGTTGCTCCTAGTTATGCAAAATTGAATCTCATAAACCAGTGAATACAGCCTCTTTACCTGCCAGCTGGTGACAAGATTTCATGGAAGCCCCTTTTTCTTGTATGTAAATTGTCTTAGAATGTGACACCGAAGTTATCAGTTTCTATCAGAGTGATAGCTGGTTGTAGGATTTTTTTTTTCCCTTTTTTCTCCATAGTCCTGCAAATGTTTCTTATGTTAGAGTGGTGATAAAGACTGACTTTATCTGAATAAAAAACTTTTTTGGTTGAAGATGATGGTTCAACAATCAACTGTAGGTAATTGGTTAACGTCTTTACTTGAAGATAGGTTTTAATTAGTGGAATCTGGATAAACTCAGCTTTCCATTCTTTTTCATTCTTGATAATTAAAACCAAGCGCACGTTTTAAAATACGATAGAGTTTGAGGCAAATATATGCAGTATATCCTTATTAAATGGCCAAGTTGCGTAGCATCAATCTCTTTTTTTTTTTTGCCTCTTTCTTAATGCTTTTAGGCAAGGAAAACCTGCTGAGGATTTGCTAACCAACACTGGATAATTATATTCCTTTCTATTTAAGAGTGTAGTAACCTGCTGCAATTGCTTGCCACTTTCTGAGTTTATGTCAGGTTGATTGTCTTTTTTACAAGAAAAAACTGGTATCCAGCACATAGTTACGCCATCAAAGTAGAGTGGACGTGAAAATGGACCATGCATGTAAAGATGTATGATGATTGGTTAGAGCACTGAGGATCATCTTATCTTTTTAATTTTGGGTACATTATCATATATAAGTCAACTTATGCTGACTTAAATATAATAAGGCAAGACTTTTAGGACACACGCCGATAACATTATATATAATTCTTTAGCATTCTACAATGCTGAGTCATGAAGAATGTGTGTGCGAACATGGGAAGAATAATTATGTAACTTAGTGACTCTCTTATGTACTTTATTGAGGGAAAGCAGATGAAACACTTAAGAGATGGATGAAATTTGTCAATAACTAATGACATTCAAAGTTTCAGTTAGATTATTCCGAGAGTGGAGTTTCTGGTGCTATAATGTCCATGAAATCACTTGAGTCCAACCGGCGAGGATACATAGTCTTTATATCGGAATTGAACAGTAGTTGAATCTATGTGATAGTAATTGAGGGTCTGAAAGGAAATCTCTGTTTAAGTATTTTAGCCAAACATCATGCTAGAATGTTTCATGGTATGATGCTGTGCTCACGCATGATATTTCTTTGGAAGTTTTATTTTCTTGCACCAACTTAAGATGATTGCTACTGGTTTAACTACTTCTCATTCTCTTGAAAAATTAATTCATTATGTTTATCTAGGTCCAAGTGCAAACACAGCATTCTTTATGTTTCTTATTGCATGACAATTGAACTTCGAGTTTAAAGCTGCCACCATTTCATAGTTCTAACACATTACAGTTGCACTATCTAGTTTAAGAAGACACGTTTGTTTTTTATCACTTCGTTCTTCACCACTAAACATAATGAGCCAAAAGTGAAGGAAACTAAAGAGGACTTCACACACAAATATTTCAAACTAATTTAATAAGGGTCACAGGCTTATACATAGCAATATAATTTCCTCCCTCTCCCTCTCTCTCTCCCTCTCCCTCTCTCTCTTTTCATGGTATCAGACACACCACTAAAAAGACCAAACTGCCAAAAAGAATCCTGAAAAGATTCTTGGAACTAATGATGTTGAGGATCTGGACCACCTGGGCTCAGCCGCTTTGATTCATAAGAACTCCTCTCTCCTGGCATTGCTCCTGAGATCATCTTGAACATTGTGTTCTTTGCATCCTTTGGCCTCTCAATGGATTCCCTTAGAACTCGTGATTCCAAGCACCAAATGGAGAAAGACATAATCAGAATGAAGCATAAAAGAATCTTTGGACTGAAAGACTTCATATCCTATCTTATTAACAGGAGTAGAAGTAGGATGTGGGCAAGAGTCTAAGGCATCAGGTCTTCAGTTTTTATAGTAGTTTCTTCACATTTTAAAACCATATGGAGCCAAACGTGTGTTCTTTTCTTTTGTGATTAAATTTGTCTTTTTATGCAGTCCCTTCTCCACCCCACTTAACGGTTTCTTTGAGAAGGGAGGAAAAGTTTTGCCACTCAGCAAAAGTGATTGTCCTTCGCCGACCTAATTGTAAACTAAATGGTTTGGTAGGCCATCCAAGTTTGAGTATCACTGGTATCCACTATGAACTATCCTTAATCAAATTTTGACCGACATTTGCATGCTGCACAGAGAGTTGTATTTATTGGTATTTTTGAGGTTTTTAGTACAGAGGTTTTATCCGTTTTTATAATGCGTGTATATGTTAGTATCACTGACTGTTTTGATAATTTGATTAGTAATCTGGATTTGCTTCTTCCTTTCTTTCTCAGTTATTTTTGTTAATGCAGATATATCTTTGTTAATTGCACATTGACCCCCCAAATTTTCATTGTTTTGCACTTACTACTACTGTCATTTCATTGTTGAAGGTAGACCGCCTGGGTTAAATTATTCTCTTTTACTCTTTTATTGCCTCTGGGTGAAATTAGTTTCATTGTTGCAGATAGACCCCTGTAGGATAATTTGTTAATATCGAATATCTCCTGTAGTTTCATTGTTGCAGATAGACCCCCTCGGTTAAATTATTTTGACAATTTCACCCTCAGATAGGCTCATTAATTTACACGGGCAAAATCTGCCAAAATTTCAGCATGGGTAAAAGTGTCAAATTTTTTTTAACATAAGGTCTTTCTGTAATAATGAAACTAAAAGGGCAGTAAGTGCAAAGCACTGATACTACATGACCTCTCATCTCTATCTCCATGGTGGAAGAGGCTAGTTAAAGGGAAGCTCAAAAGTACGGGCCACACTTCTATGAATTCCTCATTCAGGACGCAACTTCTCATGCATTTCAGACTCACTCCCCTCATCCAATTGGCTCTCTCTCTCTCTCTCTCTCTCTCTCTCTCTCTCTCTCTCTCTCTCTCTCTCTCTCTCTCTCTGCATCAGGCTCTTTTTCCCCTTTCTGATGACACTGCCTTTACCTTCTGATGACACTGCCTTTACCTTCTGATGCTTCTTGCCTTGTGTTTTTCTCAGATAATGTGGAGGATATGGAATCCACTACCAACATATCAACTCATGGACATTCTCGACAGGTAAACATAAAGCGTGCCATCTTTTTTTAAAGGATGTTGATGACAAATGGGGCGATGGCCATGCCATTTCAAGCGTGGCTATTCGTCATCCTCCCCGTTCAACTATCTCAATTTTAACTTCATTGTTGATTGCGAATAGTTTTATTGATTGCAAAATGAACAGTTTGGTTGGAAATAGTTGGTATAAAGTGTTGAACACAACTTTAACCTGTGTTGCAGTTTCCAGAGAACTTGTATGACGTTGTACTACTGAATGAACAGCGCTCATGTTGGAGGTAATCCAGGCTCAAATCATAGTGGGGTTTGATGAGGGCAGATCTTGTCATGACTTCAAAATTCAGGTATCTTTAAAGGGCTGGTGTATCTCTTAGGAGTTAGGACATGGGCATGATGAGCTGGTGCTCATCCAACATAGGCAAATGCCATGCGAGACTTCTGTCATTTTCACTGAAAACAAGTAATTTTATTACACACTGAAGTTCTAAATATTCGAAGGAGAGAGTCATTGGTTAGTTATTATAAAACAAGGAAAAGCATCGCAGGAAACCACCACCACAAGCTTCAACTGTCCAATGAGTTCCTTCAGGTTTTGGCTTTACTTGTGCTGATGTTTTGCATATGATCCATTGGTTGCATATCCTTGTACCTTTCCTCTTTTCCAAGCTCAAAGAGTCATACAATCACCCCCCCCCCCCCCCCCCCCTTCCTTCAAGCTTTCGAAGAAGCCTTCTAATAATGTATGTTTTGCTCGAGTCCAAACTAGCCTCTATATTAAATATTTATACCACTACAGTACTCAGACTGTGTTTAATTCAGTTGATGAACATTTTAGACCTCTCATAAATAAATCAAATATTCGGATTGGATACGAAACAAGCTGTATTCTTGTCGAAACGACGAAAACTCTAACGGAGAAACATATTGAAAATGAAGATTCATGCTTATGGTACCACATTACTGTAGATTGGTCTCTTAATAACCTAGCTCTAAGTTACGTGTAAATGAGTAAAAATTGAATGTTGCCAAGTTTAACACCCTTTATCGAGTAATATATTACCACTAATTCTTTTATTTATTCGTTCATTTTTGAGTGACACCAATACTGTGAAAATTAAAATAAGAAAAAGACTATGGTTTGTGAAATCCATGCGAGCACACAAATTTCACTTGAGGATCAAAAGTTATTGCCCCCTTTGGATTCCACTATCTCCACCATAACAAGTAGTTGACCCACAATTTAAGTAGGTTGCATGCGTCTATTAAAAATGGGATTATGTATTGCTACTGAATTCATACTAGAAAGGCTCTCGTTGAAATTAGTATAGCTGATGGTTGGATTACTTGAGGTGTATCTTTAACTATTGTATTAGAGATTGTTAAATTTTCAAAATGCACCCCCCCACCCCCCGCCCCCCCCCCTCCCCCCTCTGCGTAGCATGCATGATACAAATCAATTTGGATTTTTGGTTAATATGTGTATACTTAGTTCATACGTATATGATACGGTGATACCTACTCTTGCTTGAGTACATCGGAGTATAAATGTTTTCAAAATTATTTCCTCAAAATAATATATGTTAGAGGGATTAATTTATACTTATCCATATTAAAGTATTCAGATTGTAATATGTTACATACAATCAACAGTGACAAAGAATAAAAATAATTATTCAACTCCGAAACTAAAATGAATGATTGGTGATTTTTCACGTGCTGAATCCAAGCCGAATGATTGAATTAATGCACAGTTCAACCAACATCAGCATTCACAAACTTGGCATTTTTTCACATTTGAGAAGCGATATTGATCTTAAACATAGATTGAGACCAATTTAAACCAGATATTTAAAATATCAGGTATCAACATAAGTTTTTTTCTCCTTTTTTTTGGTGTAATATTATCAATATAAAATTATGCCCACTTATGAAACACCAATATGTTTGACCTTCTCATCATCGAAGAGAGGGAAAATCCACTCTTTGGTGGATACTGAAAAGGGTAATAAAAGACTAAAAGGAGGGGGTTTTATTATATTAAATTTTAAGAAGGCCTTTCCATTATTTTTATAGTAATTGCGGTTTTTGGTACTTTTCAAGTTTTAAGCATAGAAATGAGTGGCTTAATGGCCACTTACCCGTGTGGATTAATGTTCTAAAACCTTCTTTAACATTTTTTAATTCAGTCGTGTCTAATGCTGCTAATTTAGTAGGAACCCTCTTCATTGTGATACTTTTGAACTATAGCAACAAATATTAGTTTATCATCAAGTCGTACCCACCATGCCCCCATTATTTATTGCTTTGATTTGATGAGCTTCTTTTCTTTTATTGCTAACCACGTGCTAAAAGTAGGGCTTTCCATTTGGGTCCACGTCCTGGGCTCGGCTCAGCTTGGTGTTTGGACAGGACCTGGCCGTGCCCGGGCAAAGCCCGGAAACCTGGGTTGAACTGGACTCCGGGTCGCTTCGGCGAAGCCCGCTCCGGGCTCGACCTTGCCCTGCTAGGGAGATGGTCGGGCCTGATAGGTCGCGTAGGACCTAGCAGCGAAATTGGACTGAGCCATCCCGACCCGACCCGGGTTCAACGGTCACCTAGGTGACCGTTGGACCAGGCTGACTGGGCCGACCCTGTCACAAATGTGGCAGTTGGTCGGGCGGCTCGGGCCTGGTCCGGTCTGCTATAATGACCATTTTTGACCTTTTGACCGAAATTCCCCCAAAAACGGTCAAAAAAGATCAAATTTTAAGGGTATTTTGGTTATTTGGCTAGGAGGCTGTGTCTATAAATAGAGGGGTTTTTATTTATTTTTCTCATTCAAAACTTATCTACTTCTCTCTAATACTCTCTTATACTCTCTAATATTCTCTTATTCTCTCTTTTACTCTCTAATTCCCTGATCAAATGGATTCCTCATCCGATTATGAAGCGCAAGCTCCAACTCCCGAAGTTAAAACGAGTCCTACTCTTACCAATGGTGATCCTGAATCTGGTGGTGATGATCTCACGCCTAGAGATCCTAAAAGATCGAGATCCGATGTGTGGAATTTTTTTGAGAAGATAAAAGTTAACAATAATCAACACAGTAAACTTCTCCCCCAGAAGACTAAATGTGCATTGTGTGACCATATTTTCCAAGCTCATCATAAGAGCGGCACCAACCATCTCAAATGATATTTAGAAAAGCACAACCGAGCTCAAGCGGTGACGTCTCAAGGAGACATTCGTCAATCTATACTCTCTCAATCATCAACCTCCGGTAGCGTCGGTTCTTGGAACTACAATGCAATTAAAGTTAGGAAATGCGTTATCAGATTTATTGTTCTTAAAAACCTTCCTTTTAATTAGTAAAAAATGATGAATTTAAAAATATGATTAGAGATGGTTTTTATCCTACATTCAAAAAAAATTCTCATCAATTTTGTCGACATGATATTTTGAAATATTATCACGAGGAACAAACAAAAATAATTTCTTATTTTTAAAAATTAAACTATAAATTTTCTCTAACTTTTGATATTTGGACATCTAGAGCACAAACTTGTTATTTATATATCACAGCACACTGGATTGATGATAGTTGATAAATGTTTAAAAGAGTTATTTCTTTTATTGTATTTAAAGATACACACACTGGTGTTAATATTACAAATTTAATACTAGAAGAACCTACAAAATTAGAAATTTCTAAAAAAATATTTTCTCTTTCATTAGATAATACAAGTAATAATAATGTAGTTGTAGATGACATCAAATCATATTTGCTATTGACATGTCATGGTGATATTTTTCATATTAGATGCATGTGTCATATTTTAAATTTAGTTGTTCAAAGTGCATTTAATAAAATTAAACTCATCATAGAAAAGGTTAGAGTTATAGTTTATGCTTATAATGCTTCTGAATAAAGACTTAAAAGATGAAAACAATTGTGTAATGGAAAAAAATTTAAACTCAGATTAATTCTAAAAGATGTTGACCACAGGTGGAATTCCACCTATGCAATGTTAAATGTAGCAATAGAGTATAAAGAAATTATAAATAATTTTATTGTTTTCTATGCTTCTAGTTCTAGCTCTGGTAGTATGTATAAAATAACTGGTGATGAATGGACAGTTATTTAGTGTAAGAGAGATGTTACAAGTTTTTATTAAGCTACTATGTTTTTATCTGGTTGTTATTATCCAACTATTATTCAAATTGCTTTATAAGTTTTAAATATTTAAACTATTTTTTACTAATTATCGTATGGATAATTATTTTGGGAATATAATTTTTTAAATAGAAAGTAAATTTAATAAGTATTTTAGGTCTATTCCTATTATTTTTTGTTTGGGGTTTCTTATTGATCCATATTTGAAGGATGTTGGCCTTCAAAATTTGTTAAATTCTTTGTATGAAAACATAATAATAGACACTGATGATGGTCATACTGTTATTGCTCTTACTCATCATAACACTATTAAATATTATTTTTAAATATTATATGATGAGTACGAAGGTAGATACGGTGTAAGTACACATCAATCTACTACTTCTGCTTCAACGAGTTCAAGCCGAGGCAAAGCTAAGAGTTTTGATAGGCAATTAATGGTAGCGAGGCTAATTGGTAGCCATGGATCTGGAACTGGATCATCAAG